TTGTTTGAGGACGCACCGCGGAGGGAGGCGCCGCCGTGCCCGCCGTGACCTGCGGCCTGTGAGACTGGGAGATGATGTTATGTTTCATCGTGTGATCTCAAATTCAAGCCTGGGCGCATCCCAGGATATTGAGCCTAGCGGTAGGGTCAACACTCCGGAACACCTCTTAGTTCCAAGCTGGCGCAATCAAGTTTCCCGATGTTTTGACGCAACCACAGCGCCAGCCTCGGCTGTTTCACAGGCCCCTCACAGGGGCTCACAAGGGTGGGGGGGGAGTGCGCCCAGAGGTCCCTTTGCACATCACCCGAGGCACTGCGACTGCGACACATACTGGGGCCGCGACAGATGCTATGTTACACTTTCGCCGCCCGCCGCGACGCCAGGCGGCAGCGGCGGCGGCGCTGGGCGGGTCAGTTCATGAAAAATATGTGCAAGCAAAACGGCGCGGCGGTGGCTGCAAGGTGTCCTCTCCAACGCGCCCCCACAGTTGCGGCTTAACCTCAGAGGAGACCGGCATGGGGAGGATCAGTAATAAAACCGCCCGTGGGCGGGTGGTCGAAATGCTCGGCGGCGGCTTGAGGAAAAACCCCCGTCCTGTCTGGCCCGAAAATCCGAGCGAATGTGCGCAGGGCCCGCGGGCGGGGGCGGCGCCGCCAGCATTTCGACCGCGATTAGATTGTCTGATATTTGCAAAAAGCAACCTCCCTCCAAAACGAGCGGGTGCCTATGACCCGCCGCCCTCTCTCGTACCTGCCAGGCGCGCGCCGCGCCGCGCCGCGTGGCCGCTCCTGCCACTCAACCCCTCGACTGCACTCATCAACCTGCACTGGGCAAATTTCAGGCAAATTTCGATCAACGTGTCCTCATAAAGATGCAGGGTTGCATCGGTATCAACGCAACGCGACGCGATGTCGCAGCCGCAGCCATATGTCCAAGGAGGCGCTCAAAGCGGCCGCCTCACAGCTCCGGCTCCGGCTCAAACTCCAGCGCCGCGGCGGCCACGGTCGCGGCCGAGACGGCCTGGCGCTCGAGGGCCGGCGCTGAGTCAGCGTCGGCGTCGATGTCGCCGTCCTCGCCGGCGGGCGGCGCGGGGTGCGCGGCCGCGAGGGCGCGCCTGAGGCTCTCCACCTCCTGCAGGGCCGCGTCCATGCCTGTGGGTGTGTGCCGCGCGCGCGCGCGCGTGTGAGAGTGTGTGTGTGTGTGTTTGTGTGTATTTATGTGCGTGCGTGTGTGTGTGCGTGTGTGTATGTGTGTGTGAGATTGTGTGTGTATGTGTGTTGATGAGCTTGGGGAGCGTTGGTGTGTGATGGGCGCCGACTGCGGTACTCATGTCGCGAGGCCGCCTGTTCGCCGACGTGCACGCAGCACAGGGCAAGGACGCATGCGCCCGGGCGTGCAGCCTTCCAGCAAACGAGCTGAGACCAGCCGGCGGCGGCGCCACCGCGGCTCGCAAACCTGAACACGAACGGTTTGGGCCTGCTGCCGTTTGACAACGCTCACACCAGGTGCGACCAAGCCTGCACAACAACGGCAACAACGAAAAGGAGGGCGGCGGCCGGGACCCACCCAGCGACGCCGCGTCCGCGCGCGCCCGCTCCAGCGCCGCCGCCCGCTCCGCCTCGCCCGCGCGCCGCGCGGCCTCCTCGCTCGCCGCCTCTGCGGCCGCGACCTCGTCAGCTGCCGCGTCCTCGGCCGCCTCCACCAGCAGCGCCGCGCGGGCGCGAATCTCAGCCAGACTGCGGGGAGGGGGTGGGTGGGTAGTTGTGCGTGTGCGTGCGTGCGTGTGCGTGTGCGTGTGCGTGTGTGTGTGTGCATGTGCGCGCGCGTGCGTGCGTGCGCGAGTGGGTGATCGGGTGGGGAAATGGGAAGACATGCGGAAGGGCCAGCGGACCAAGGGGGTCAGAGAAGGGGAGGGAGAGGGGCGGTGGCGGCCGGTGTGCGGGCCATTGGTCCTTCTCAAAGCCACGATGCCCATCAGCGCTACAGCCGTGCGCCGGCCGGCACTTCGCAACGCATTGACCGAAGAAAGGGAGGAGGAGGGCCGCGCCGCGCGCCGCGCACCTCGCCGGCGGCTCCTCGATCGCGTCGGCCGCCACCGCGCGGCCGGAGTTATCAGCCGGGGGCGCCCCCAGGTGTACGGCCAACTGCGCCATGTCCGCCTGGCAGAGGTTGGGGGGTTTTGTGTTGGTTTTCGATCAATTGGGGATCAGCAGAAATTTGCTCAGGCGGGCGTGGAGGTGTTGCAAACCGAAAGCCGGCAGCCAAGGGAGCAAGTCGCGAGCTGCGGCCGGGTCGACATGCAGGGGCCCAGGCAGGCTCGCCCACACGCACGCGGGGTCGGATCGGCTGGGCAAGGACACAGCGCCTCGCTTGGCCGCCCTCTCCTGCGCCGCGCCCGCACGGGCGGCGCGCGCGCGCGCGCGCGCGCGCGCGGGCGGCGCGGGGCCCCTCACCCTGAGCTGCCGCGCCTCCTCCTCCGCCGCGCTGGCGGCGTGGTGCGCCTCGTCAGCCTCCTCCCTCAGGGCCGCGATCTCCCCCACCACACGGACCAGCTGTCGGGGTTTGAAATTCGAAATTCGAACGTGCGTGCGGGGGTGAGCGCGTGTAAAGCACGGGGCTGCGCGCCCTGCCGGGCGCCTTGGGTGGGCCCGGCTGACCGCGACGCACGCAGCGCTGGGCTCCAGGCGCGCGCCGTACCAGCCGTATTTGGTGCTGCGCAGGGGGCAGCGATTAGAGCGGCGGCGCCCCAGCCATGCTTTCATCTCATATCCAAGTTTGAGGCTGCACGCACCATGCCCTTGGCCTTCGAAAGCTGCTGCTCCACCTCAGGCAGGCGGCTCGCGGTGGCCTGTGGGGTGCAAAGGGCAGGGCCCGGGGGGCGGGAGTGCGGCGCGGCGGTCAAGCGCGGGTTGCGATGCATGCGGGGTCAAGAGCTTTCAAGGCGCACAGGGCGGAACTCCGGCCCCGCCTTCGGCCGAAGCTGGGATGAGGGGCGGTGAAATTGTCAAGCCATTATCTGCATCAAGCGCGCTTCAAGCTGTGGCTATGCAATCTGCAGGCAAGGGGAGCTGCGCAGCAGGTGGTGGAGGCGGTCCGAATTCAAACTCGCCTGCACGACAGACAGCTCGTCGTCCAGGCGCCGCGCCTCCGCCTCGGCCGCCTCCGCCGCCGCGCGCGCGGCGGCCGCCGCGGCCTCGGCCTCGGCGGCGCGCTGCTGCTCCGCGGCGAGCTGCGCCAGCGCCTCCTGCTCCGCGGCGCGCGCCGCGTCGGCGTCGTCCTTCGCTGACGCGACCTGGCCCGTGAGGCGCTCGGACTCCTGCGGCGAGGGCGCCGGGCGGGCCGACCCCCCATCGTTCGAGTGCTGATGCAGGGGGCAGACACTTCCCCACCTCTGCTTCTAAGTTCATCCTGTAGTTTGCCATTCATGGAACATGCTTCCTTCACACATCTCAGCATGCGCGCCCGCACACACGCCGAATATTTCGTCCCCCGCCCGCCCGACCGCCCCACGGGGCCCACCGTCTGCCAGTGCGCGGCCTTGCCGCGCTGCCGCTCCAGCTGCGCCGCCTCCTCCCGCAGCTTGGTCTGCGCCTCTACCAAATCCCTCGCGGTGGCCTCCTGCACGGGTGCGCGGGAAGAGTGCATGTGGGACGCGTGCCAGAGCTGTGTGTGAGTCATGTGTCTGGATGGTGTGTGGATTGTGCGTGCGCATGTTGTTTGAGAGATGTGTGTGCACGCCTGCTGTGTGCATGGGGCACGTGCATGGGGTGTGTGCGTGGGATAATCGCACAGTGCAGGTGTGGGTCGTGTGCTTGGGGTGGGTCGCATGGGTATGCGCATGCATGGGGTGCGCCATGCGGCCAACCGGGTCTGTGTGCATGCGCGCTCTGGGCGTGCATGCGGCTGTGCATGCCGAGCCATCGGCATGCACCAAAGCGCCCTTGCATCGACGCAGCGCCGGCGCCCGGCGATGCAGCGCCGACGCGGTGGCCACCGCTCGGCCCCTCCCACGCCGTCGGGCGCGCCACTGCAGCATTACAAGACCCAAAATCCGCCCCAGGCACGGCGCCGGCCGCCGGCCCCCCGCACCTGCGCCGCCCTCAGCTGCATGACTGTCTGCTCCAGCTCAGCGAGCGCCAGCCCAGCGTCGTGGCGCTCGCTCAGCGCTTGCTCCTTGGCCGCCGCGGCTGCCGCGGCGTCGGCCTGCCGTGCGGGCGTCGAGGTTGGGTGAGCATCGTGGGTCGAAGGGAGGAGTGAATGGTGTATGGAGGCGGCCATCCCATGGAGGCGGCCACCTCCTGGGTGTAAGCTGCATGCAGCGAATTTGTGACGTCACCCCAATCCGAAATGCTAAGGACATGCGCAGGCTGGCCGTCGCTGCATAAAGAACCAACAGAAGTCTCAAGCCGGGGTGCCGCACGCCGCCCCCCGTGTCCCCCATGCGTAGCCCCCGAACCCCATGCCCCCCCGCACCTCGAGCTGCGCGGCGTGCGCCGCCATGCGCTCCGCCTGCACGGCCGCCTGCCGCAGCTCCTCGCCCGCCGCCTCCAGCTCGCGGTCGCGCGCCGCCGCGTGCTGCCGCGCCGCCGCGAGCTGCGCCGACAGCTCAAAGGCCTCCTTCTCCGCCGCCTCGGCGCGCGCTGCGAGGCGCTTCGAGTCGTCCGATGACGCTGTCCAGGCCTGGCTGAGGGTCACCAGGTCGGCCTGGAGCGACCTCACCTCGTTCTGCACGCGGGCAATGGGGTGGAGAGCGGCGCGCGTGAGGAGCGCGGGGCTCGGCGATCGCGGCGGGCTTGGGCTGGGAGGAATTTGCTGCACGCTATGCCCCGCACGCCGTCTGGGGTTCAGTCAAGGTTGTGGCCGTGGCGACAGCGGCGGCCGCTTGCACGCCCCAGCTGCCGCAGGCCGCCCGCGCACAGCAGCGGCCAGCACGCGGACCCCCGCACACACCTGCAGCCGCCCAGCTTTCGCCCTCTCCGCGCCGAACGCGGTGCGCGCCGCGACCGCGTCCGCCTCCGCCGCCGCGCGCTCCGCCTCGGCGGCCCGCGCGGCCTCCTTGGCGGCGGCCAGCTGCGCCTTCAGATCCGCCGTCTTCTGGGCAACCGCCGCCTTGAGGGCAGTGAGCTCCGCGCCCGCGCCTGCCCCGGCGCGCTCCGCCTCGGCAAGCCGCGCCTCCGCCGCCTTTGCGCGGCTGGCGGCGGCCGCCGCGCGGATCTCAGCGGCCGACGCGCCGGCGGTCGTGTCGGCGAGCGCGCGGTGCGCGGCGGCGGCGTCCTGGCGCACGCGGGCGACCTCTGCTTGCTTCGCCGCCAGGGCGACTTCCTGTTGAAGTGGCGCGGGCCCGGGCGCGCGTGCGTGTGCGGTTGGACGTCCGAGCAGCGCGCCATCAGGGCAAGCGACTTTTGAGGGGGATGGTCCCCGTTCGCTTCCATGATTGCCGGTCAGTTCCCATGCGCACCCACAGCCGACACGACGTTGGTACTGATGTGGAAAATCCAAAGGGCTGGGGCGGCGCGCTCCACGGCGCAGCCGCCGCCGGCGACCGCCTCGATTTTGGCCCTGGTCCGTCTGCGGCGGCGCCGCGAGTTCGCGCGCAACGGACGCCTTGAAGAGTCTCCAACACGGATCGCCCTGGCGCGGCAACCCCCGCACCTTGTCCTTCACCGCCGCCTGGCGCGCCGCCGCCGCCTCCTTGGCCGCCGCCTGCGCCTGCGCCAGCTGGGCGCGGAGCTGCTCGATCGCGCGCGCCTGGCTGGCGGCGGCGCCGCCGTCGGACCGCGCAGAGGGGACGGCCTTGAGGGCTGCAATCTCGTGGTCCAGGGCGCTGACCTGGCGGTGGTTGTTGTGAAGGGTGGCGGTTTGCGTTGGGCAAAGGGTGGGGCGAGGTGGGGTGGGGCGTCACTGCCAGGGCAGCGGTGCGCGCGTGCCGGCTGTTGATGGCGGGGGCGACGGGTCGATGCCATCCCCGCGGGCGGCGTGCAACTGACGGGCAGCTTTGCTGTGCATGCGCATCCATTTGACATAACGCCTACACGTCCGGCCTCCTGGCGCCCACCTGGCCTTTCTGTGTGAACGCGAACATTGCAGCGGCTGCGGCCGTCAGCAGCGAGGCCGCCTCCTGCGGCACAGACACGGTGTTGGCCACGTCCGCCATGCTTTTTGCGTCCATCACCTGCAAGCATGAACGACGTGCGCGGGTCGAGGCAGAGGCTCGGCCGGGCGCGCCCATCAACCTAGGAGCCCTTCACAAACACCAACAGGTGAGACACCACTCGTGACCTGGGACCTTACGCCGGGCAATCTGCACCAACCCTGACGCGACGCGATTTAGCGCATAATTGACACCAATTTAGCGCGGCACCGGCATGAACGCGGCCTAAACTCACCCGAGCCACAAACCGACCCGCTGGTCGTGCAGCGCGCGCGAGGGCTGGCGCATACTGACGAGCTGGCAATCTTTCTGCTCCAGCGCCGCGGCGACCTCGAATGGTGACTCGCATTCTGCCAAATCACGCCGGGATGCAGATCTCGTGCTCTGGCCGTGTTTTGATGCGATTCGAACGCGATATCAATACACACTGGAACACCAGTGCCCTACAAGCGCAGCAACGGGTGCTGCATATGGCTACTCACGAAAGCATGGCTGTTGAAGCCCGCCATGAGCCCAGTGTGCGTGGTAGGCCAAGCTAGCAACAGTCGTCCGAGGCCGAGCTCGATGCGAAATGTAACCAAATCAATTAGCTGCATTTTAAGGCCACTCCGGCGGAGGCTGGGCGCAATCCTTCTCCGCGGACTGAGGTCAACAAGCGCACGCCACCTTGCTGGGCGGGCCTCCAATCGCGGCAGTCGCCTGGCACAGAAGCTGGAGGGAATCTCCTTGTACCTGCAAGACTAGATAATAATACTAGACATTCATCCGATGCGTGTGAGCAACCGTGCCTCGCATGCACATATGGCACGGAGGCTTGCACCTCCTCGAGCCAGGCATGCCCTTCGCCAACATGGGCACGCGCAGGATACACCATCATACACGAGAGATTTCCGGTGCTGGCAAAGCTTCCAGTGATCAATGGCATTTTCGTCACCCGTGGCAGCACATTCATTCAACGGCAACTATGGTCAACCTGAGTGTTTGACCAATGCCAACCAGCGCCTTATGATACCGCTCCCTGGTGTGGGTCAGACGACGCGACACTGCGCACAAAACTGGCTGTGAACGTCGGCTTGCTCGCCAGATCCTGCATAGGTAACCAGCACCTGTCCTGGCCCAGCCAGCACTGTGCTTGTGTACATGCATCCCCATGTCTTCCGCGTGATCATTGAGTCTGATCACCTTTGGAATGTACTTCAAAAGCCTTTCAGCACGAGGTTTCTACCTGGTTCAAACGAGGCGGGCGTGCGCTGCATGCTCGCAAGTGGACTTGGCGGGATGAGTAAGTGCATTCTACGGGCAAACTGCATCGGTGCTTTTCGGCGAAACGGTTTTTATAGCAATGTGTAATCGTATCAGTATTCATTTGAACCTTTCGTCCACCACTGTTCACGCACTCGTGCGCCACAGCTGCATCGGAGCTCACGTCTATCAGCCGAGCACCAGCGACTGCAGGCGCCCGTCGGGCTTCATTTGTCAACTGGGAAAAATCTCGTGGATTCTTTGATCAGCGCACAGGCTCGTGTGGCGCCACTCGCTTCGCAGGCACTGCAGCGCACTAGCAGCAGCAGGCGCTGCAGCTCCCCCCATTGCAGAGCGCCCCGCAGCGCCGACCTGCGCCGCGGCGACCGGCTCCAGCAGCGGCGCCAGCCATGAAGCTGCTCGCGCTCACGCTCTTCTCGTACAAGGGCGCCGAGGCGCCGCCGGTCGCGCTGGGCATGGCCGCGGAGCTGTCCAGCTTTGGCTACTTCCAGCGCGCGTCGGTCCGCGAGATGCTGCAGTTCACGAGCCGCACCATCGTGCAGCGCACGGCCCCGGGACAGCGGCAGACGGTGAGGCAGGAGGATTACTACATGCACGTCCACGTGCGGGACAGCGGGCTGGCGGCGGTTGCGGTGTGCGACAAGGACTACCCGCCAACAGCAGCGTTCAGCGTGGCGGCCAAGGTGCGTGCGACAACATGCGCACGCATACACACACACACACACAAACACACACACAGTTGTGTGCGTATGTGTGTGTTGGCGCGCACGCGTGTGTGTGTGCGCGCGCGCGCGTGTGTGTGTGTGCCTGGGTCGGAGACCACGGCAGCGGAGCAGCGGGAGCGGCGCTCCGCAGTCAAGCAACGGCGCCCCCGCCGCAGCCAGGCGCTGCGTGACCCGCTACGCCTAGCAGGGCGCGCTCTGCATGCACCCATGCAAATTCCCTTGCAAAACCTGCACTTGCCAACCAGCTTTGTTACTTGCGGTACCAAAGCGAAGTTTAACCAACCAACTACCAAACCAACTCAACACCCGCCAGGTCATGGAGGAGTATGCCGCGGCCAGCAGCGGCGAGCCCTGGCGCACGGCCGCCGCAGACGACGCCAGCGCGCAGTCGGTGCTCGAGCCGGCGCTGGAGCGGTACCAGGACCCCGTGGCGGCCGACAAGCTGACCAAGATTCAGCGCGACCTGGATGAGACAAAGGTGAGGGGCTTTGGGAGGGTGCGTAGATTTGCGCGCCCGCACGGGGCGCCGCCGCGGCGCAGCCGCGGGACGGACGGCTGCGCGGCACGGCGCGGCGCGGCGCGGCGGCG